TAAACCAGAGCTGGGCACCTACTCTTGTTGGGTGCGGAGACTCCCTCTCTGAGGGCACTTTGACATCTGAGAAGGCGAGTGACCAGGCCAGGGTCACACGGTGTGTGCCAGGAGAGGCCGGCTGGCTCCCCTGGACCCCACCGCATGCCTCTGCTCTGTAAAGGAGGGGTCCTGACACCCTCCCTGCCCATGTCACAGGGTTGTTAGAAGAAAACAGCCCTGGACAGTCCTTTAGGGTTTGGTTAGGTGGGCCTCCTGTCCTAGGAGGCCAAGGCATATAGAGCTGCGTGTTGGAGCTGTTCTCGATGTACAGGGTGGCTGTAGTAAAGTGTGAGGATGCTGAGGCGTTGCCTGTGAATGCCGCTTTCCGTCCATCCCTTGTGTCTAGGCGCATCCCCCGCCCCTTCTGCCATGTTTGAGCTGATCGCCTCCAGAGATGGCCCCCACGTTGCCCCTCCTTCCTGGAGACTCGTGGTCTGTTAAGAGATTGGAGTTTCTGGTCAGCATTTTATCTGCGGCGGAGAGTGTGCAGTCAGTGTGGGGAGAAGTCATATGTCTGTGTGGCCCCCCACCCAGCCCAGTCATGAGAGAAGGGCAGGGAAGGGCCCGAGATTCTGGCTTCCAGGTGGGCAGGAGCCTTGGGGAGTTCACCTGACCTGTAATGATGATAATAATAATAATAATAATGATTACAAATATGATGATGATGATGATGATGGTTCACATTTACATACTGCTTTAAGGTTTACAAAGCGCTTTACACATATCATTTCATTTGGCCCTCTCAACATCCCCAGGAACTATATGCCTTTATTATCCCCATTTTACAGATGAGGCAACTGAGTCAGAGGTGAAGGGATTTGCCCCAGGATTCCACCTCAGACCTGAGAGCCAGAGGAATGTGTGTGTCTTCCCTCTGATTAACCAGTCATAAGAGTGAGGGACAATCCAGGGTCTGACCCTTCATCGCCCAGGCCAAAGAGGGCCAGGCTGGGCCCCAGGCTGCTGTCTTCAGGCCCAGCGTCCCCAGCCTCTCTGGCTGCCTGCTTCCAAACCCCAGATTAGATCGCCCCCATAGCTGATTGCGTTGGCCAGGGGCACGTTTCAGTCACATGAGGAGTGCAGAAGGATGGCGTGCCTGCGGTCAGGCCATGGTGCAGCTGCTTTGGGTCAAAGTTATCAGCATGGCAGAGCTGGGTGGGAGGTGGTAGTCAGCTCAGGCCTCTTAGGCCTGGACGTGGATGGGAAACTGCATCCCTGCCATGGCGGGGCCGTGACTCTGGTCTGATTCTCCCACCCTGCCGCTTCTCTCTGCCCTCAGGAGCGAGTGGTGGGTCAGGAGGTCTCTAAGGCCCCTCCCTGGGCTGAGGCACCGAGCCCTTGGCTGCCCCTGGCTTGGAGGCTTTCAGCCCAAGCCCCTCCTACACCCCTCCCCTGGCCTTTCCTGTTACCCCAGGCTACTCCCATCTTCTCTCCAGAGTAGCTGCATCTCCATGTGTGTACATGGGCCTCCCCCATAAGGGAAGGGAACACGCATTCATTAAGAACCTACTGTGTGCCAGGTGCTTTACAAAAAGGCTCCATTTGATTCCCCTCAAATACAAACGAAAAGGGACTGTTGCATTTTCGTATTTGTAGTTCTAGGGTATAGCACAGTGTGCATGTGCGGCACTGGGGGCACTTAAATGTTTGCTTATCGATGTGTTCAGACTGAGATGGGGGAGGTACAGAGGAGAGGACCCTGGCTTGGGACTCAGGAAGAGCCGCATTCAGGTGCTGTCCTGACACTTGCTGGCTGGGGTGGCTCTGAGCCTCAGTTTCCTCACCTGTAAAATGATAGCCCCAACCTCCCACGTAAAGCACTTTGCAGACTTCCAAGCTCTCCAGAAATCCTGTTGACGTTGTTAATGCCCCCCCCTTCTCCCATCCCCCCAAATACAATGCAGCAGCACCAGGGCCTGGTCCAGAGCAGGCGTTTCTTGTCTGTACACAGTAATCAGGCTTTGGGGAAAGAGCACAGATGATGACAGCGTGCATGCCGGGGGCGTGTGATCCCCCTGCATCATGATGGGTTCTCTCAGCTTGAAGATGCTCGCAGGACATCTAGGGAGGGATGTTGGGAGGTTTGGGAGCCTGTGGTGCCGCTGGCTCCTCAGTGGGGAGAGGACTCAGGACAGAGCCTCTGGAGGACCATCCCCCGACCCCTACTAAGCGAGAGGGCAGCAGGGAGGGAGGGGTGGAGGGAGGGAGAGAGGGAACGTCCAGGAGGGGGTGGGGAGGAGGGAGGAGTGGGCCTGTCTGCATCAGAAGCTGGGGAGGGTTAGGAGATGACCAGTAACCTTGGAGAGAGCAGGTTCCCATGGGTGGGTGTCGGAAGCCAGATTGTGAGTGGGATGTGAGGAAATGCAGAGTTGAGACATCCTTCCTTGGAGTCTGGCTGTGATGGGAGAAGAGATAGGGGGTGAAAGCCAGGGGCAGTGAGGAGGTATGTGGGTGGTGAGAGGGATGGGCCTGGACAGAACCCATGTGGATGGGGGGAGGTGGTTGGAGAGGAGAAGGTGCCAAGGCCAGCCCTTTGCCTCTGGGCAGACAGAGCTCCAGGGGGTGAGGGAGATGGAGGGGACGGGATCACGGGCACAGTCACGTGGAAGGGTAACTTGGGAAGCACTGGGGCCATCCCTTCTTGACCCACTGGAGCAAGGAGGAGAGCCTGGAGGTGGTGGGTGGGTGGGGGACATGAGCTGGCCTGAGGGGACCTCCTTTCCTCCCCAGAGCAGGGGGTGAGCTTTTCTACTGAGGAGGAGAGGGCACAGAGTGCTGTGGCAGCTCTGACCACCATTGGGGAGGGAGCAAGCGCCCGGCTGAGCGGAGACCCCACAGATCTTAGAGGGGCCCAGTGGGCAGGAGCCTCTGGAAGCACTGAAGGGAGATGGCGCATCATCTTTGTCTCTGCATCCCCGGCCCTGAACGCAGAGCCTTTTACTTACTGAGGGCTTAATAAATGCTTATTAAATTGATTCCCAGCACCTGGTGTGCTGCCACTGAGTTCCCTGGCACCTCTTCAGAACCACCAGGGAAAGAGCTTGTGTCTCTGGCCTGGAGGTCTGCAGAGCCCTGCTCCTCCTATCCCTGGGAGGTGCGCATAGTAGGCATGTTCTTATTAAATGGTGGAATGACCAGCCTGTGCTCACAAGGCCGACAGTCAGTGTCAGAGCTGGCATTGGAACCCAGGTCCCTTGCACGCGTGGACATGCATTCATGTATAAGAAAATGCACAGTGTGCACATATACATACGTGTGTGCCCACAGATGTGTATATGTATACACATATATGTCTAAGCACACACACACACACACGCACACACACACACATATGGTGAGAGGCAGTGGCAGTGCTCCCAGGCATCCTCTTGCTGTGATCCATCAGTCAAACAACAAACTTCCATCCTTTCCTCCTCTGTGGTACCAGGCCCCGAGCTGGGTGACGAGCATGCAAAGATAGAACTGAAACCGCCCTGCCCTCATAGGACACCGGCGTCAGCCTGTTCACTGTGCCTGGGGCCCGGGCTGCTCCGCCTCCTCCCCCCCCCTCCCGGCTTCCTTCAGGTCCCCGCTGATCCCCCCCCCCCGTCCCCCTTGATTCCAGCCTTTCCTGGGTGATGAGATGCAGCGTCTCTGGTCTGTATCTTCTTTGTACATTGCTGTGTGTGCTCTCCCCGTTAGACTGTTGGCTCCTTGAGGGCAGGGACTATCTCACTTTTGCTTTGTATCTCTAGTGCCGGGCACACAGCAGGCGCTTAATAAATGCTTGTGGACTGTTGTCTGATTGATTAGGGAAAGGCTTCCTGTCAAACTGGCGTTCTCGACCTGGGCGGCAGTGAACTTGTTTGTATTAGACAGCGGCTGTGACAGTCTAATGGTTTCCTTTGTAATCCTGTGTGTTTTATTTTATGCATACCGAGTCCTGATGCAGAGCGGTCCATAGGTTCGCCAGCGGACCTATGGGTTCAGGACGCAGGTTAGGAGCCGCTGGTGTAGACAGTGGGCCGGCCCGCTAGTGCTTGAGCTGAAACCTGGGCAGTGACCAGGGATTTGGCGAGGTGGGCTGGCCAGTAGGGTGGGGGGCGCAGCTGGTCTCCGCGTCCTCCTGCGGCTCTCTCCCGCCGCTCCTCGGCCAAGGTTCACCCTCTTCGGCATTTTCTGACTCCGCTCAGGGCCCTGCCGGCCCCTCTGGTTTCAGCCACCCCCCGCCCCCCGGCTCCAGCTCTCTTCCTCTTCCCAATCTCAGTCTGCGATAGTCGCTCCAGAGCTGCAGGGGCTTCAGAGGACGTATGGTCTTAACTTCTCATATGGCAGGGGAGGAAACTGAGGCCAGCATCTCACAGCAGGTGGTGTTAATCGGGGAAGACTTCCTGATGGAGGTGGCAGGCCTGGATTGTCAGGGCGGAGGAGAGGAGGGCTTTCCGAGGTGGGAGCGGAGGTGGGTGTGGGCGCAGGGTCAGAGCAGGGGGGCCGGGCACCATCCATCCCAGCGATCATATCCGCAGAGGCTTTTGTTCTCCCCTGGTAGGTGAGAGCCCCGGGAGGGCAGGGGCTGCCTTCCTTGTGTATTGCTGGCCCTTAGATGGGCGTCTGGGCTCCGTAAGTGCATGCTGATTGATTGATCGGTGGCTCATCGATGATGCCAGGAAGCCGAGGGTCCACACTCACCTATGACACGTGGTGCCTGTGGGGGGCCGGCTTCACTGGCGAGGGGCCGGCGGAGGGAGGGCGTCCTGGGCTGGTCCCCACCCCTGCCCTCCTTGAGGTCATGGCCGGCACCAGGCCTGCCTTGGGGGAATCCTTGCCACAGCTCTTGGTTGGCCTTGGAGCTCAGCGCCCCAGGGGCTGGGAGGCGGGGTGTGCCAGCAGGGACGGGCGCTTGATGCCAAGCGTGGGTGTCTGTGTCAGCTCTGTGTCAGCTCCCGTATTGATCTGTCCTCTTCTCTTGTTTATTGCAGCCGTTATACAATCAGCCCTCAGACACCAGGCAGTATCATGAAAACATTAAAATGTAAGTACCGGCTAGAGGGCCACAGAGAGGGCAGTCAGCCCCTCCTCCGGCCAAGCCTGCCTGCGCTGGGGCTGGCGTCAGGGATGACGATGGAGGGGAGGCCTTTGGGGTGCGGTCCTTGGGGAACAGGTTCAACGGGGTGGCTCGGGGGAGGTTTGGGAACTTGGGGGACAGTTTCTGTTGGACTAGGTTTCTATTGCCTGCTCTTCCAGTGCGGTGGAGTGGGTGAGCAGGTGGGTGGGTGGAAGGATCAGAGTCAGGGGGATGTGGGTTTAAATCTCACCACTCACCCATGTACCCGTGTGACCCTAGGCACGATTCACTCTCCCATGGCATCCACTCCAGCCCTCTCATCTTATGAGGTGAGGAAACTGAGGCACCAGAGAGGGAAATGGCCTGCCCCAAATCAGCCAGGATAAACCGGCCTCACTCCTCCCTGTGGGTTCATGAACGGGGCGCCTTCATTGAGGCATTTCCCGCTGGGTCAGACCTTCGGAGGCTGAGTCCCCTGATGTGGCCTTCATGGTCACTGCCATGATGGAAGGTCGGGGAGCCCCTTGTGGCAGGATTCGGACATAAAATATCAGTCCAGGGCCCGCGGTCAATCCTCAGCTCTCCTATCACAGACCTTGACGTGCAGAGGACTCTGAATGAACACCCTTAGACATCATCTGTCTAGACATTCTTGTCTTTTGACAGCTGAGGAACCGGGGTGTCAGAGAGTGTGAAGGAACCTGGCACACAGGGAGAAAGCCAGAAAAAAGGGGAGATTTGAACCCGGGACCTCGGACTCCAAGCCAGTGCTCTGCCCTTATCGCATGGTGCTTCTCAGGGATGGCAGGGGAGTTGGTGGCTTAGCCTGGAGGCCCCCAGGTTTTCTGTGAGAGTCATTAAGCTTCCATTTGGATTTAGGGGGGCATTATTAGGGTATGGAGAGTGTTCACCCCAAGTGATCTTCTGACCATGGCACGAAATGGTCCCTGGTGGCTGGGAGGGGAGGGAGAGGCAGCCAGACAGGATTTCTGGGCAGTCCCTTCTCTGTCCTGGTGGCTAGTGAAAAGTCTGAAGACCCGGGTTCAAATCCCAACGCACCTCAGACACTTACTAGCTGCGTGACCTTGGACAAGTTGGTCACCTAGCATTTATTGCACTGGCAATGTGCCCAGCATTGTGCTGTGCACTAGGGACACAAAAAAAGCCCCTCCCCCCAAAAAACCCTTACTCAAATGCAGTCCCTGCCAGACAAGCAAATAGCCATGGATAAATGAGATCTATGCAGGATAAATGGAGTAATCAGTGGAGGGGAGGTGCTAGCATTAAGGGAGATTGGGAAAAGAGAGTCACTTGAAGTCTGAGCCCCTAATTACTCGTCTGAAAGATGAGCGCACCTTTTCCTTCTCTGGAGCCAGGGGGCTGAGTAGACGGAGGTCTGCTTTGGAGTCCCCGACACGCGCTGGCTGTTAGCCTTGGGGTTCACCTCTCCCCCCCCCACAACTCCTCTCCTGGGGGGTATGTAGAGTCCAGGAATGTTGGGGGGGAGTGGATGAGACCATGCGTGCTGGGTGCTCAGCAGGCCTTTGGGGATGGCAGGCAGGCCTGTTTACTGTTCCTGTAGAGGCAGGCTCCCCGACGGTGTTGTCCGCGGCTGCTTGTAGCAAAGTGGCTTCATGGGGAACGCAGGATCTGTCTGGCCCCTCAGGCCTCTCCCCCTGCCAGACCCTCGATGGGGGCGTGTGTGAGGGGGTTATGGGACGGCAGGGGCCACCTGATGCTAGGGCGCAGGGACGGACCTTGGGATCTGTGTGACCTTGAGCCAGGGTTTTGCCTCTCTGGGCCTTAGTTTCCTCACCTGTCAAATGAGGGAGGGGCACTCGATGAGCCGTGGGATCCATTTCAGCTCTCGGTCTCTGATCCCCAGGGTATGTCTAGGCCAGTGAGGGTCAGACAGGCGGCTGCCAGGGACGGGCCTCTGGGACCCAGGTGGGGATGGTGGGGTTCCCGGCCCGGCAAGCCGACGGCTGACGGAGGCCAGGAGAACGTCGGCCTGGCCCGAGCCAGCTCTGGAAGCCCAGGTCATGGAGCCAGCCTTCGTAGTCACTGGCAAAGCAGGGAGCTGGGTGATTCAGTCCAGGTTCTCATCAGCTGTTGTCATCTTATTATTACTTGTTACACTGCTTGGGCCAGCCAGGTGGCACCATAGTGTGCCTGGAGTCGGGAAGACTCGTCTTCCTGAGTTCAGATCTGGTCTCAGACAATTTGGGACCCTGGACAAGTCACTTCACCCTGTTTGCCTCAGTTTCCTCATCTGTAAAATGAGCCAGAGAAGGAAATGGCAAACCACTCCAGTGTCTCTGCCAAGAAAACCCCAAATGGGATCACAAAGGGTCAGATGGGACTGAAATGACTGAACAACATGCTAGCTGTTATTCTGATACTAATGATAAGTACTGCTCAGAATAACAATGAAAACAGCAGCTGACATTTCTGTAGTGCTTTGAGGTAGGCAGAGTGCACTGTAAACCTTATCTTATTTAATCCTCACAGCAATGCTGTGGAGGTGGGTACTATTATTGTACCCATCTTGCAGATGAGGAAACTGGATGCTGAATAGGCGAGGTAATTTGCCCAAGGTCACATCGCTATTTGAAGTCAAGTCTCCCTGACTTCCAAGTCCTGTGCTTAGTAAACATTGATCAGTTTCCTACTCTGTGCCAGGCACCGTGCTAAGCGCTGGGGATATGAAGAAGGACACAAGACGGTCCCTGCCCTCAGGGAGCTCCCACTCTAAAGGGAGAAGACGACATGTAGAAAAGTAGGGGTGGGGGCGTGATGAACTGAAGGGTCTCTCGATAGGCACTGAAGGGGGTCTACAAGCAGCCAGAGGCGTCTGCCCGCATTCAGGGTAGTAGCACAGACGGCTCAGATGTGCCCAAGGGTTGTGTGTCTCATTCATCTCCTGTCTAGCCTCTCTGGGGGCCCTGGAGCAGAAATCTCCCCAACCTGGCCTCCCAAAAGCAGGACGCTGTCATCTGGAAGGTCTTTGCTTCTGGAGCTGTCGTGCTTACGGCTGTCTGACGGGCATCCATTGCATCCTCAGCGGCGTGGCTGGTGGCCCATCTCTGCTGTGCAGCTGCCTGCGTGTGGGCCGGATGATGGGGGGGGGGTGTTCCCATCAGGCCTGCCTGACATCAAGGTCACTAGACTTGAAAGGAGTCTTAGAGCACGTGACCGGCACCATAATGACGATGACAATTAGAATAACTGACATAAAGCACTTTGAGATTCACAAAGCCCAGATTCCCATAAATCACCTTTTTGATGCTCTCAACAACCTTGGGAGGCAGGGAGGTGCTGTTTTTATCCTCAGGAGTCTCAGAGACAGTAAGTGTCTTGCCTGGGGTCATATCGTTAACGCTGTGATTTCATTAGTACAGGGAACTCCCAGGAGATTTAACTCTCAGGTTTGGTACCTTCTTTGAAATATATTTTCTTAGAATTAGCTAAGGCAGTGAAGGGCTGAATGATTTGTCCAGCGTCACACACCCGTCATGTGCCAGAATGAGGAGGTGGATCCAAGTTTTCCTGACTCTGAGATCCTCTATTCATGATGCCATGGTGGCTCTGTTTAGGAAATATATTCAAAATAAATGCAAGGTGACTTTGAGAGATAGGGAAGGAGATTCTAAAAACTTGTGGAGGGAGGGTGAGGGAAGGCTTCAGGGGGTGACGCGTGATTTGTGCTTGGAGGGAAACTAGAGATTTCTAAGAGGCCAGAGGAGAGGATGAAGTGTATTCCAGCTGTGGGGTACAGCCCGTGCAAAGGTGCTGAGATGGGAGATTAAATGTTAGATGCTGAGGATAGTTGGGAATGCCATTTGGGTGGCGTGGTAGAGTGCATGTAGTAAGGTGGAAGTGATTCAGATACAGTGATGAGCCAGGCAAGGTGGTTTAGACCCAGATTTTAGCAGCTTTAAATGGCAGTCAGAGGAGCGCTTTCTTTTGACCCTAGGTGTAGATGGCATGAGAGTAATCCTGTGCACATGCGCATCTCTTGATGAAGGTGAGCCCCCTCGCACAGCCTTCCCGGGGGTGACTGGGGGCGGAGCAGGCCCTAGGGAGAGTGGCCGGTGTCTGCCCTGTGTCTTTCACTCGTCATTGCTGGTAAAGCTGCCTTTGATAAGGCCAGGCAGGATTTATGTCCTCACTAAAAGTGTTGCCATGAACACCATCCTTTTTATTTTCCTGACATTTGATTGCTGGGTTGTTGTGTTTTTTCCTGCTGCACAGTTAAAATTAATTTCATGCCCCAGTTCATTCTGGCATCGGCAGTCCCAAAAGCACTCGAGTCATTGTTAATTGCATTCTTCCGCTGGGCACCCTTCTGCTGGGGCCGTGGTCACTCACTGGGACAGATGCTCAGGCGGAGCTGTGAAAGTGGCCTCAGATTAACTTCTTCACCACTTGGGAGATGGGGGAAGTGGGGAGGGAACTCAGGGGGGAAGGATCTCGGGGCTGACCTTTACCGCTGGCCAGCTATGAATCCCAGGCTTTGCAAGGGTCTGTGAGGGCGGGGGCAGTGAAATCAGAAGTCCTGCAGTGTTAGGGAGGGAGCGGACCTTGGACCGGCTGGGGTGGTTGTTTGTAACTTGTAATCTTGACAGTTTGGTCTAATGGGAAGGAGGTAGGAGACCCAGGTTTGAATCCTGACTCTTTTGCTTTGTCTTCTGAGTCACTCGCTTCTCCAGAGAATCACAGACTGAGAGCGAGAAGGAACTCTGGAGGTCATTTCATCCAACCCTCCGATTTTACAAATGGGGAAAGTGAGGCCCAGAGAGGGGTCATCGGATCATAGACTTAGAGGTTGAAGGGACCTTAGTCGGTCAGCAGGCATCTGTTAAGTGCCTAGTAAGTGCCAGGCACTGTGCTGTGTGCCGAGGATGCAAAGAAAGGCAGAAGACAGTCCCTGCCCTCCACGAGCTGCCCTGTGAGAGGGCGCCAGG